GCTTTTGCTGTATCCCATAAATTCTGGCATGTCGTATTTTCATTTTCATTTGTCTCCAGGTATTTTTTGATTTCTTCTTTGATTTCTTCGTTAACCCAGTCGTTGTTCAGTAGCATTTTGTTTAATTTCCAAGTATTTGTGGCTTTTCTGATTTTCTTCCTATAGTTGATTTCTAGTTTCATACGCCTCTTTCATTTCTGATTTTATTTATTTGAGTCTTTTTTTTTTCTTAGTGAGTCTGGCTAAAAGTTTGTCAATTCAAACGATAGCTTCTCTTTAAGCATATCCCTCACCACCCTATTTAAAATTGCACCCGGATTTAAAATGGCACTCATCACTATCTGGTATGCCACACATTTACCTATTTATCTTTGTTATTGTCCATTCTTTCTTCCTGATGTGATTCTTATTTCTTAGAGCAAAGACTGACATATAGTTGCCAAGGAAAAAAAATTGTTGAATGAATGAATGAGACAATTATCAGGCAACGTTTGTTGTTGTGAGTACTGTGTGGCAGGCGTGGATTGCCATGACTGACGATGATAATGCTATCAAATTACATAGTAGTGGAGGTTCGTGTTTAAGAGTGGAGAGCCTGCAGTCAAACTCCATAATTGCAAATTTCAGTTCTGCCACGTACTGTCTTATGACCTCAGACAATTTATTTAGCATTGTGCGCCTTAGTTCCATTTATAAAATAGGGATATGCATAGTGATGAATTCATAGGTCTTTGTGAGGATTCAATGAATTGACATATGTCATGAGCTTAGAACAGCACCTGGAAGCTGGCACTTTAACACAGGTTTACAATATAAGTATTGTGTTCCCTAATACAAGCTTACAGTGCAATATAACCTTAAGCTATTTTGTTACTACCATCATATTTTGAGTGCTTAGATACTCTGCTAAATGTTTAATATTTATTGTTTCATTCAATCATTCCCATTTTATGGGAGAGAACACTGAGGCACGGATCTAGGGGGAAATTTATCTCCAGGATCACACTACCTCTAAGCAACAGAACCAGGATTTGAGCCCAGGGACTATGATGTGATCTCAGTCATTCTCCCTCAACCACTCTGTGAGCTGGTGATGGGGAGAGTGGGCTCTCTAGGATGGACACAGCTGGAAATTCCTTAGCTCTTAAGGAGGTGGGGGGAACTTCCCACACCCCAGCCGAGACACCAGCCACTGTCTTTAACACCCGGAGTTCTCTTCTCTCCCAGGAGTTTTCAGCAAGCCCTCGCTCTCAGCCCAGCCAAGCCCGGCAGTGTCTTCAGGAGGGGACGTAACCCTGCAGTGTCAGAGCCAATATGGCTTTGACCAATTTGCTCTGCACAAGGAGGGGGACACTGGGCCCTACAAAGGACCGGAGAGGTGGTACCGGGCCGATTTCCCCATCGTCACGGTGACTGCTGCCCACAGCGGAACCTACCGATGCTACAGCTATTCCAGCGGATCCCCGTACCTGTGGTCGGCCCCTAGCAACCCCCTGGAGCTTGTGGTCACAGGTAAGGGGGGTGCAGAGCAAATCTTTTTCCCCCAGCCTTTGCAGGCCATGATGCAAGTTCAAGGGGAGGGCCCACTAGGTGCGAAGGATGTATGCCATACAATTCCACTCAATACACAGCATCTTTTTCCTTACACGTACACACATGCATACACACATATAATATATACATATAGTTATTGGTAGAGCAAACAGTCTTAAATCAAAGCCGCATCCAACAGGTGTGTAATTGTGACTGTGATAAGCATTATGGATTAGAAGTACACAGTGCTGTTAGAACCTAGAAGGGGAGGGAGTTTGGGAAGGCTTCTCCGAGCAATCAATGTTTGATCTGGATCTTAGGGCAGGGTAAGAGTTAACTGGGAGGGTGGAGTAGGTGGGGTGGGCTGCAGGCAGGTGGAATTGTATGTGCAAATGCCCTGTGGTGGGGAGGAGGTTGGCAGACGGGTGTAGCTGCAAGCCAGTGCGGCAGGAGGGTGGCAGGAGGTGGTGAGGGGCCGTGTTTTATTCCTTATTAGGCATCTCCTTTCCCCCATATGGGATGCCTTCTCCATTCCCCAAACATATCCCTTGGTTCCTGTCTCCTCATCTACTTCCCAGGAGACAGGAACTGGTTTTGCACCCAGGGCCAAAGTAAGGAGGCAGGTCACAGAGATGCAGAAGGAGGCACAGAACTGAGGCTCGAAAAGCCAGGAAGGCAGCTGTAGGGCTGGTTATTAATCAGCCGCAGTACGTCCTAAGCATGCTTTTCAAATGCTGTTGACCCCCAGGGCAGTCCAGTGATGTAAACGTCTTTGTATTCATTTTCCAGGTGAGGAGACCGTGTTGTGGAAATGTTTTATTATTTGCTCAGGACCCACAGCTAACAGAACACAGAATTCTCTCCTTTCTGATTTCTCAGGGACCTCTGTGACCTCAGGCCGGTTACCCAAAAAACCACCTTCCTCCATCACAGGTAGGTTCTGGAGGTTTCACCCCGGTCTCTGGGGTACAGGCAGATGGGCCGCTTCTCTTCTTTCCCCTCTTTGTCTAGATGTCTCAATTTAATTCACTTGTCTCTTTCACAAATTTACTTTATTAAAGAAAATCCCTAATTTATGCCCAGAAAGAGGGTTGGTATAATCAATAGATAGATTGTACTCTGCTATCCCACAGCCCCACCTCTATCCAGCCTTAGGGGGATGCTTTATAATGTCTAATGTGTAAAAGAATAATCTGAAGGGCTTGTAAAATTGTAGATTCTGGGCTCCATTGCTGAGCCTCTACACCACCGGTTAGTTGTCCTCAAACTGTGGGCCCGAAAATCACCTGGGGGGCTTATAAAGGACAGATTTCTGGACCCCCAGAGTTTCTGATTCAGAAGGTCTGGAGTGGGGCCCAATAATTTTCATTTCTTACAAGTTCCCAGGTGATGCTGATGCTGATGGTCTGGGGATGTCACTTGGAGAACCACTGCACTAAATTTTGTGTGAGGCATCGTGTTCCTCCATTTTCAAAGGCATCTCAGCTGATTCTGTTGTGTCAGATGATAGCCTGTGCCTTAAGGACTAATGCGCTAGGCTGTAGCATCTCCAACATTTCCTGTGTCTCAGGGTAGACCCGAATGCCAAGGAACAAGAAGCATGTTGAAAGAGCCAGGGTTGACAAGAAGGTGGTGACACGTGGGGTTGAGGGCAGTATGGGGGCTGTCATGCCAAATGAGGTGCACTGTGTCTGTGTGTTTCTGATTGGAATTTTTAAACTTTTTATTTTGAGATATAGAGTCACAAGAAGTTACAAAGATAGTACGGAATGATCCCATGTACCCTTTGCCTAGATTTCCCCAATAGTTACATCTTACTTGATTATAGTACAACATAAAGACCAGGAATCTGACATTGTCACAATATATGTGTATAGTTCTATGTTGATTTATCACACATGTAGATTCGTATAACCACCACTGCCCTCAAGATACTATTCCAAGAAACAAAAAAGATACTATTCCATTCCCATGAAGATGTTCCTCAGGTTACCTCTTTATACTCACCCCTCCCCTCCCACTATCCCTAACACCTGACAAGTACTAATTTGTTCTTCCTCTGTTTATTTTTTGTCATTTTGAGGATATTATATATAAATGGAATCATACAACATGGAACCATTTGAGATTGCCTTTTTTTCACTCAGTATAATGCCCTTGAGATCCAGCTAAGTTGTTGCATATATCAAGAGTGTGTCCCTTTTCATGGCTGAGTAGTATTCCACAGTATGCCTGTACCACACCATATTTAAATCTAAATTCAAAAATTCATTATTGAGGGCTGGCCCCGTGGCTTAGCGGTTAAGTGCATGCGCTCCGCTGCTGGAGGCCTGGGTTTGGATCCCGGGGGCGCACCGATGCACCGCTTCTCTGGCCATGCTGAGGCTGCGTCCCACATGCAGCAACTAGAAGGATGTGCAGCTATGACATACAACTATCTACTGGGGCTTTGTGGGGGGGGGGAATAAATAAAATAATTTAAAAAATTCATTATTGAAACTCACAGAAAGAGAAACAACAGAGAACAAACAATACTCAAGCTCTGATTATACCACAGGTATGTGAGTGTAAGGTAGGCTTTGATGAGCTGGTTCCACCATCAAAATGTCCTCAGAGACTGTCCCTATACTAAACAGGAGCTACATATTTATAGGCTGAGGGAGTTCAAGAAATATTTTGGTGGACATGTAAAAATAATAAGAGATCCCACATTAAGAAAATGGCCTTAGTTGGGAGGGGAGCCTCTTATGTTCAGAGGCTGGTATCAGCTTGTTGTTCCGTTGAGCTCACACAGACCTGCTGATCCACTTCATATTTTTAAAATCGAGATATAAGTCACACACCATGATTTCACCATACCCACCAGAAGAGCTATAATCATAATAAAAACAAGCACAACAACAAGTGTTGGTGAGGATATGGAGAAATTGGAACCCTCATATGTTACTGGTGGGAATGAAAAATGGTGTAGCTGTTGTGGAAAATGGCTCAATGGTTCCTTAAAAAGCAAAACAGAATTACCACATGACCCAGCAATTCCACTCCCAGGTATATACCCAAGAAAATTAAAAATGTATAGTCACACAAAAACTTGTACATAAATGTTCATAGCATTATTCATAGCCAAAAATGTGGAAATAACCTAATGTCCATCAATGGATGAAGGGATCCATTTCTTATTAAGCCACTGAGAGATAGAAGACAGCATGTCTTAGGGCCTTTTGTGTTTGTCTCTCTTCAGTGTCTGTGCAGTGTGTGTTAGAGAAATGGGTTCCGAGGAGCCCAGATATATCAGAAGGGGTATGGAGAGTAGGGGCTCCCTGGGCAGATCTGACATTATCCACTTCCTTGTAATCCTCCCGCTTAGAATTCCCAGAAGCCTCCAGAAAACTGAACATCTCACTCAGGAACAAAGTCTCCACAACCAGTGAGTAACCAGGCACTTAATGCTCAGCAGAAATGAGTATGAGGGTTGGGCTTTCTCTTCCATCATCTGAGGTTGTAGGCTTTTACTCTGATTCACAAAACCACCTGACTCTTCCCAGGAAAGTCTTTGGTTTGAGGATGAAGATGGGATGGAGGTGGGCTCTGAGTTTGGGAATAGAGGAGCATTCTGGGTAATGTGGCTATTTCCAAGATGGCGGAACCAAGGCTATCATGGGAAGACCATCACTTGTCCCTACACAGTGCTCTTCTGACTTGGCTTTGATCCATGTATGTAGTCTTGCTCCCATTGCTTCCAGGCACAGCCTGTGCTTCAGCCCCACATAGATCAAAGGCACCTGGATGCAATGCACCCTCTTACCACTCCAGCCCAAGGCAATACGCTTCCCTCATCCTGTGGTTCTCTTTGACCTTGTTTTCTCTGGAAAAAGTCTCTATTTCTTTTAAGACAGAAATTCTCGACAGATCCCCCAAGGATAGGTTGTATATCTCCACTGGGCCCACACAACTCCAGCTTTCTTTAGGCTCGTGGCACTAGCAGATTCTTTCTAAGACCCTGAGGGAGTTCTTCTCTATCCTCTCTTCAAAATCTTTCTGGGTTCCCAATCACCTTCGGGACAGATGGGAAAACTGGCTCACAGATGTTAAGTTATTTGCCAGAGACTCTGCATCTAAAAGTGATGGGTCTGGGATTCATATCTGGACAGCTTGACTCCATATTTAATTCTCTTCTTGTAGCCCCAGAATTCTGCCTCCTAAGTGCATGTGTTCAGGGTAGGGGCAGGAACAGGGGTAGGAGAGATGGTCTTGTCCCTTCACATTTACACTTTTTGATTCCCAGAGCCTTCTAGGAATATCACCGTCTTTCCAGATGGGTCAGGCACTCCAGCTGGTGAGTAAGTGGTGCTCTCTGGACACACTCCCTTCCCACCTCTGTGTCTTTACCCAAGCTGGCTGCTCTCTCTGTACAGAAGCAGCAGCTCTGTGCTCTTGGGTCCTGGTGTGTAAAGTGTTAAGGGGAGGGGGAACATCAGCATGTGGAGCTCAGATTCGGGCAAAGATCAGGTGAGAAGGTTGAGATTTTCTAAAAGGTCAGAGAAAAATAAATTCCATCTCTCTCCCCACCCCTTTAACAGTCTTCTCTTCCACAATTAGCCAAATAACCAGGTAGTGTCTGTGTGTGGAAAGGGGTTGTATCAGGGGCCTGTGAGGGGGTGTATGGGAGAGGTGATATTTTGAGAATTGGGCTTATCTAGTCCTGAGCCTTGGAGGGGTGAGGAGGGGAGGGACTCTCTAGGAAGGAGATTGACATCCCAGCTAGCAGAGAATAATGGGATCTCAGAGGAGGGACATGGCTATGAGAAACCCAAGATGTGGCTTAAAGTGGGTCCTGGAGATGGGCTTTTATCATCTGCTTCTGTCTCTCTTCACTCCTCAAGGTCTTGCCCACCAGAACTACACTAAGGGCAATCTGGTCCGGATATGCCTTGGGGCAGTGATTCTAATACTCCTGGTGGGACTTCTGGCAGAAGATTGGCACAGCCGAAGGAAACCCCCAATGCGCTGGGTCAGAGCTGTCCACAGGCCACTCCCACCCCTCCCGCAGACCCAGAAATCACGTGGTTGTCAGGATGGGGGTCGACCAGATGGTCAAAAGCACGGGTGCCACCATCAGAATCCCAAGGCTTAAGGGATAGGTCGTGGGAGTGGAGAGGGGACTTGTGTGGAGTGTGAGAGTGAGAGGCTAGAGATTACAGCTGTGGAAAAGGAGGGCCAGGGCCTCTTCTTGGTGCTCCATCAAGGAGCTGTTGAATCAGTGTCTGTTTGGCGCTCTGCCCAAGGACTCCTTTTGTTTTGGATGGAAGGAATCTAGTGGATGTCAAAGTCTCCACACTGATATCTTGCACATTGTGAATTTTATGGCGCCCTAACTGGGCCATCATACTTACCTCTTTCTTCAACCTTCTCTAATAATAATAACCTTCTAGATTGACCTCTCATATTCCCAACTCTCACAGCTGACCCTGTTCTATCCTCTGCACAAAACCTTCCCACATTTCCCCCTTGCCCACCTGTGCTCTTTTCTGGTTATCCCCAAAGCTAACCTCTACTCTAACCCTATCTTAAAAGGCAGTCTGATAAATCTCCTTTTGTTTCTCAGAATGGGCCTGCTTCTTTCAGGCTTTTGGGAATTCTATTCTTTTTCCCTAGAATATGATAATTATAATTAACATGTCAATGGCTTTCCTTCATATTAGAAAAAGTCCAAAGTCCTAAACTTGTCCTACAGGCCAGAATAGGTAAATCCATAGAGACAGAAAACAGACTGGTGGTTGCCAGGGGTTGTGGGGAGGAAAGAATAGGGAGTAATTATTTAATCAATATGGTTTTTTTTAAATCTTGGGATGATGAAAATGTTTTGGAACTAGATAGAGGTGGTGGTTTCATGACATTGTGACTGTACTAAATGCCACCGAATTGTTCACTTTAAAGTGGTTAGTTTTATGTTATATGAATTTCGCCTCAATAAAAAGAAGAAAAATACCTTGCTCCCTGACATCTATGCATCTCTGCGTGGGGTCACTTGTCCTAGGGAATGTGGGAGATCAAGATTTTGCCACCCTGAAATCCATCTTTTTACCGTGGTTGTTTTCTCTAGGGACATTTGACCTCCCCCACTAACTGCCTAAAGAATTTGACATAGTAACTCCTTCCTGGAACAGATCTATCATGATGGCTGTAAAGATAATGTAGGATAAATGTTAGAATAGAAAAGGCACCAACAGGCCCATCTTATTGGAAGTTCTGTCTCTCTGGCCACATTCTCTGGATGGTCCTGCAAGGAGTTACCAGACAATCATTTACATTTATAAGGGAAATCTCCATTTGTAAAGGTATCTCCCTCTCTGTTTTGGGAAGAGAGGGGGATGGCCTCATTTCTAGAGGCTTATCAATGTGGAAGGTGAGGCCTTAAATCTGCATAATAACCTTACTCTTGTTTACTGTGCTTTAGTGGTAATCTCCTGTAACTGACTCCCCCC